CAGGTGATTCAAAGTTGTACTTATTTACAGTTATACTGTATATGAGTGCTATTGAAACGCCTGGTTATAGTGTTACCCTAAATAGGTATATTTATGTAAATGTTATTTAAATTAAAAAATGTACTAGTACATATCAGATATTAGATATTGATAGATATTAATAGATATTGATAAGAGTGACAGTATTATTATAACGATTAGTCGATTAGTTGTGTTTTAACTTTTTTTTTTTATATAAAAATTTTATTCTAAATTTAATAAAATATACTTTCTCTTAATGAGGTTGCGTATAATAAGTATATATATATATATTTAACTAAGACAATATTATCAATTTCTATGATATTGACAACATCATGATTATTTAGTAATTTAATAACAATTATGGTCACTACAATGAAATTAGCCTTACCATTTGTAGTATCAAAGACAATGATTTTTAATGAAAGTATAACAACCTGTTTATATCCAAGTAATGTAGTAAAGAGCGGTCCCTGCTGACAGAGTCGTCCTACAGTTTACAACCTTTATTCGTCTAAAAATAGCTTAGACTTGTGTGTGGCAGAGTAAATCATAATGAGAGGCTTATTTATGTGTACAACCTGTTAAAATATAAATTTTCTATTGGTTTAAAAAAAAAACTCCTCCATATAAAAAGTTCGAGACTGGAATCACAAGTGTAAAAAAAAAGAAAATTTTAATATAAATCTTTTATTACTAACTATATAAAAAAAAAAAAAAAGCTTTTTCTAAATGATTCATGAATTCCAAAACTTTATTATCATTATTTTCAAATACAATTATATTAATTCACCTAATCATCGAAAGAATTCTAAACTTTAATGTACTTAATAGTTACATTAAATTTTTGATGAAATGAATATTTGATGGTTATATATTAATTATCTTTTTGTTCGGGATTGGTTTTAAGATGTACAATGTACCAAGCGTCAGAAATAATCAGTAGAATTGGGATCATGTTAATATTATATAATGTACATGAATTTCATATATATACATACATGCTTGTAAAATTTCATTTTAGAAAGAAATTACATATCCGATTATATATTCTTCAAAGTTTGGAAGTATTATCAAATAATGAAAGATCTTTGTTAAATGCTCGTAAGTTTTTGATTTCTATTAAATAAAAAAATATATATTTTGATCTTTGAAATTTATTAATAAAAATTTCATTTTATTTAATTGATAAAAGAGAAATCTAAAGAAACAAATGAATTTATGTATATCCCATATATTCCATCCCTTCTAAATCCTAATAGACCAGAATTATTAAGATATGTAATCGATTACTTTCCAAACAAAAGACACAAGATCTGTATTTATAAAAAACAGAAGAGAAAAAAAAGTTTTTCAGTAAGAAAATTTTTATAAATAAGATTTAATTGAATAATTTAATGTTAAAATTGATTCGATTCAATAAACATGAACAGAAAAAAGCATCTAAATCAAAGAAATCTGGTATAGTCAGTAACAAAAGGCATGATAGCTTAAAAACTCCACACAACAATGGGTAATTAAAAAGTGCTCTACTTAATAAAAACCATTCTAGATATTTTTATTCATTCAATTTTCTTTTCTTTATATAATAGATTGGATTACACTGAACCAATTATACAAAATATCAAAATTTTTCATAATAATTTAATTCAACGACCAAGAACTGTAAAACAAAATCTTTTACCTGAACAAGTTTTAAATTCTGCATGTGATGAGCTGGAATGGAAATTAAAGTCAAGAATTAAATTCAATATCAAATTTGCAAATAATTAATCACATTTTAAAATTACTATTATTAATTTACTAAATCCACATAAAATTTTTCTTAAAACACAGAAATTAATATAATGATAATTAACTTAGCTTTGTTATTATATATATAGTTTTCGGTAATAATTATTCCAAATATTTGTATTATATATTTTTAGTTAAAATATATATATAACTTTTCGCATCATATATATAGATACTTTATTTAAATTATACAGTACCTTGCTTTGGTTATTCAATACGTAAAATTTATAAAGTTCTAAGAAAACCATATAAGCGGAATGATGAGATTATATGATATAATGTGATTACTAAGATTAAAAATATTTATTTGCTAGTGATTGTAAAATTATTTATTATTTATGAATTGTTTAGGAGTTACTTCAGTACTTATTAGTTTTATATGCTGTTTATGAGTAAAATAACCCACATATGATGATTTTCATTAGGAAATTTGTGATTATAATCGATTATAAAATTATCACCTATTAAGTATAAACAATTGTTAATAAGTTGATAAGTAGCAAATATTAGTAAATTTTAATCAAACTTGACAACAATTTTCTCAATAACTAGTGATTAGAATCAGCCAAAAATTTTTTGAAGATAGTATTAATATTTTATTCAAATTGGTCTAGTATATTTCAAGTAATTGCTTCTATAATCAATTTTTAAAAAAATCAATTATTATTATATAGAAGTGATTACTCAAGAACTACTAGACCATTTCGGATAAAATTTAGAGGAATATTGATTCTATCCTTAGTAAAAAGTTTGGCTGATTCTAATTACTAATTGTCAAATCATTATCAAAGGGTTGAATAAGTACTATTTATTTCTTGTAGTGGCGGGAATAAGAGTGTTATTCTTCATTTTATATGACACATGACGATGTTTTACAACTTATATGAATAAACTTTTTTTTCGGTAGTCTTTTTTTTTATCACACCCTGCCTTTCCAAAAATGGATAAAAGGTTTCTTGCTAGTATTTTTTTTTTATTATTCATCAATCCATATAATTTATATACATTTAATATATACATATATATACGCTTAATAAAATTATCACAATAATAAAAAAAAAACCGCAATAAATTTGATGATAATGAAAAAAGCCACAATAAAAATGATAATGATAGAGAAGAGAGCCACAATTATGATAGTAAAAATGAAAAAGGAGAAATTCCAGCAAAAGAAAAAAGTAAGAAATTTTTATTTTTTTTTTATGAAATAAATTAAAAATTAAAATTTTTATTTATTTAAATTTAGAAAGAGTTCCATTAGCTTTATTGACATCAAATATAAAATTGAACTATATAACGTTATCTTCACTTAATAAAAAGTCTCTGGCCAAAAAAAAAAAAAAATAGTTTAAAATTTATATTACTATAGTGCGAGCATCCTTAAATCAACATATAAAACACATAATTTTTAAAAGCTTATAAATAAAAAACTAAAGAAGATATTAACAAAATCTCTTCGTAAAATAATAAAATCAAACCTAAAGAACAAAGTTACAAGTTTATTTTTTTAGTTAATTATAATTTTATTTGGTTGAATTGGTTTAAAGTTAGTATAGAAACCAAAATTTGGCT